CAGACTTCAGATATGTGATAAACAATATAATTTATTAACACTAACCATACAAACATAAACGCAGTGCAATACTAAAACATAATACAGTGCAAACAAACCAAACCAACCACCCACAGATAACAGTACATACAAGCAAGCGTCGTCAGGCAGGCCGGGTCAATATCAATAGGGCAGGTAGGTACAGGGGGAGCAAGCGGAGATGGGTCGGGGTCACAGGCCAGGTTCAGCAGGTAGCTAGCAGCGTAGTACAGAGGGTCAGGCAGAGGGATGGTCAGGGTCACAAGCCAGGGATCAGAACAGGTAGCAAGCAGCGTGGTACAGAGGGTCAGGCAGAGGGATGATCAGGGTCACAAGCCAGGGATCAGAACAGGTAGCAAGCAGCGTGGTACAGAGGGTCAGGCAGAGGGATGGTCAGGAGCGAGCCGGGATCAGAGCAGGAGAAGTCAGCAGCGGTTCAGATCAGGCAGGGTCAGCAAAGGAACAGAAACAGGATGCAGGACAGATACAGGGCCCAGGACAAACACAACACCAAGGCAGAGTCTGCAAGTCTGGCCATCCCTTAAATACACCAGTATCATCAGTTCCAGGTGTTAGCTGGCTGAAAGGTTGAGTCTCTGATTGCTGGGAGCACCCGCTGGCCAGCCCTGGTACTGCAGATCAAAAGGCAGGTGAGTCCCACCATTGCTGGCCAGTCCATTCCTGACAGTACCCCCCCCCCTCAAGGAGCAGCCTCAGGACGCTCCAAACAGTCCTAGCTGGGCAAAATGTTCCACCGCCCGGGTCTGGTAACTGGCGGGATATCAAAGACTGGCACACCGGGCAGGACTCCGGGCAGCGGCACACCGGGCTGGACTCCGGGCAGAGGCACATCGGGCTGGACTCCGGGCAGAGGCACATCGGGCTGGACTCCGGGCAGAGGCACATCGGGCTGGACTCCGGGCAGAGGCACATCGGGCAGAGGCACACCGGGCAGAGGCACACCGGGCAGAGGCACATCGGGCAGGACTCCGGGCAGAGGCACATCAGGCTGGACTCCGGGCAGAGGCACATCGGGCAGGACTACGGGCAGAGGCACATCGGGCAGGACTCCGGGCAGAGGCACATCGGGCAGGACTCCGGGCAGAGGCACATCGGATTACCAGGCGAAGCAGCAGGCAGCGGGCCACCAGGCGGAGCAGCGGGCACCGGGCCCCCGGGCGGAGCAGCAGGCAGCGGGCCCCCCGGGCGGGGCGACAGGCACCGGGCCCCCGGGCGGGGCGACAGGCATGGGGTCCCCGGGCGGGGCGACCGGCATCGGGCCCCCCAGGCGGGGGAGACCGGCATCGGGCCCCCAGGCGGAGGCGGCGGGCGCCGGGCCCCCAGGCGGGGCGACGGGCATCGGGCCCCAGGCGGGGCGACGGGCATCGGGCCCCCAGGCGGGGCCACGGGCATCGGGCCCCCAGGCGGAGCGGCGGGCGCCGGGCCCCCAGGCGGAGCGGCGGGCGCCGGGCCCCCAGGCGGGGCGACGGGCATCGGGCCCCCAGGGCGGGGCGGCGGGCGCCGGACCCCCAGGCGGGGCGACGGGCATCGGGCCCCCAGGTGGAGCGGCGGGCGCCGGACCCCCAGATGGAGCGACAGGTCTCGGGCCCTCAGGCGGAGCGACGGGTCTCGGGCCCTCAGGCGGGGCGACGGGCATCGGGCCCCCCAGGCGGGGCCACGGGCATCGGGCCCCCAGGTGGAGCGGCGGGCGCCGGGCCCCCCCAGGCGGGGCGACGGGCATCGGGCCCCCAGGCGGGGCGACGGACATCGGGCCCCCAGGCGGAGCGGCGGGCGCCGGACCCCCAGATGGAGCGACAGGTCTCGGGCCCTCAGGCGGAGCGGCGGGCGCCGGACCCCCAGGTGGAGCGACAGGTCTCGGGCCCTCAGGCGGAGTGGCGGGCGCCGGACCCCCAGGTGGAGCGAGCGACAGGTCTCGGGCCCTCAGGCGGAGCGGCGGGCGCCGGGCCCTCAGGCGGAGCGGCGGGCGCCGGACCCCCAGGCGGAGCGGCGGGGCGCCGGACCCCCAGGCGGAGCGACAGGTCTCGGGCCCTCAGGCGGAGCGGCGGGCGCCGGGCCCTCAGGCGGAGCGGCGGGCGCCGGACCCCCAGGCGGAGCGGCGGGCGCCGGACCCCCAGGCGGAGCGACAGGTCTCGGGCCCTCAGGGAGCGGCGGGCGCCGGACCCCCAGGCGGAGCGACAGGTCTCGGGCCCTCAGGCGGAGCGGCGGGCGCCGGACCCCCAGGCGGAGCGACAGGTCTCGGGCCCTCAGGCGGAGCGACAGGTCTCGGGCCCCCAGGCGGGGCGACAGGCATCGGTCCCCAGGCGGGGCAAAAGGCATCGGGCCCCCAGGCGGGGCAAAAGGCATCGGGCCCCCAGGCGGGGCAACAGGCATCGGGCCCCCCGGGCGGGGCGATGGGCATCGGCCCCCAGGCAGGGCGGCGGGCGCCGGACCCCCAGGCGGGGCGACAGGCATCGGGCCCCCAGGCGGAGCGGCGGGCGCCGGACCCCCAGATGGAGCAACAGGTCTCGGGCCCTCAGGCGGAGCGGCGGGCGCCGGACCCCCAGGTGGAGCGACAGGTCTCGGGCCCCTCAGGCGGAGTGGCGGGGCGCCGGACCCCCAGGAGGAGCGACAGGTCTCGGGCCCTCAGGCGGAGCGGCGGGCGCCGGACCCCCAGGCGGAGCGACAGGTCTCGGGCCCTCAGGCGGAGCGGCGGGCGCCGGACCCCCAGGCGGAGCGGCGGGCGCCGGACCCCCAGGGAGCGACAGGTCTCGGGCCCTCAGGCGGAGCGACAGGTCTCGGGCCCCCAGGCGGGGCGGCGGGTGCCGGACCCCCAGGCGGAGCGGCGGGCGCCGGACCCCCAGGCGGAGCGACAGGTCTCGGGCCCCCAGGCGAAGCGGCGGGCACCGAGTCACCAGGCACGACAGTGGGCTCCAAGTCAACTGGCATGACCGCTGGCACTGGGTCAGACATTGGATCGTCTGGCTGGACAGCGGGCATCGGGTCACCAGGCATCAGGTCATTTGGCTCGACAGCGGGCACCGCGTCATCTGGCAAGGCAGTGGGCTCCGAGTCAACTGGTATGACCGCGGGCACTGGGTCAGACATGGATCGTCTGACTGGACAGCGGGCATCGGGTCACCAGGCATCAAGTCATTTGGCTCGACAGCGAGCACCGCGTCATCTGGCAAGGCAGTGGGCTCCGAGTCAACAGGCACGACAGTGGGCACCGGGTCATCAGGTACCGGATTGTCTGGCTCGACAGCGGGCATCGGGTCACCAGGTATGACAGCGGGCACTGGGTCACCAGGCATCAGGTCATTTGGCTCGACAGCGCGGGCACCGCGTCATCTGGCAAGGCAGTGGGCTCCGAGTCAACTGGTATGACCGCGGGCGGGCACTGGGTCAGACATTGGATCGTCTGACAGGACAGCGGGCATCGGGTCACCAGGCATCAGGTCATTTGGCTCGACAGCGGGCACCGCGTCATCTGGCAAGGCAGTGGGCTCCGAGTCAACAGGCACGACAGTGGGCACCGGGACCGGGTCACCAGGCATTGGATCGTCGTCTGGCTCTCGACAGCGGGCATCGGGTCACCAGGTACGACAGCGGGCTCTGAGTCAATTGGCACGATAGCGGGCACCGGATCAGGTACCGGATCATCTGGATCAACAGCGGGCATCGAGTCAACTGGCCTAATAGGATCGTCAGGCTGGATCAGTTCATCATGCTGGGTAGAGGCATCAGGCTGAATGCCGGCGTCCGGCTGAGTAGAGGCTTCAGGCTGAGTAGAGGCTTCAGGCTGAGTAGAGGCATCAGGCTGAGTAGAGGCTCCAGGACGAGTAGAGGCATCGGGCCGAGTAGAGGCATCGGGCCGAGTAGAGGCTTCAGGCCGAGTAGAGGCTTCAGGCAGAAGAGAGGCATCAGGCTGCGTACAGGCATCAGGCTGCGAACAGGCATCAGGCTGAGTAGAGGCTTCAGGCTGAGTAGAGGATTCAGGCTGAACCACGGAAGGCAGGTTCACCGGTTTGGATACTGGCAGGATGTATTGGTTGGAAAGAATTTTCGCTTTTTTCTGGTTTTAACTACTGGAGCACTGCAAGTAAACGCAGGTCTGCAAACGAATGGAGCAGCTGGAGACAGAGAAGAACTGGAGGATGGAACAGGAGAGGGAGCAGTTGCTACAGAGGGCTTTTTTACAGGGTTAAAGGCAGGATAGGGTGCGAGTGGGAACAGGGTACTGACATGCGGTAGATAGCCAAGATACTGGGGGCTGTAACTGGGGGAGTTGTTGGGAATACAGGAGTAGAGCTTTGAGGAAATAGATTAGAAGCAGGACTGGGTCTTTGTAAGCTGACTGAGGGCTGGGTGCAACAAGTCTGTCCATGTCTGCAGTATGGGTTGAACAAAGCTGAGCTTACACAAAGCCTGTCTGACCAAAGACTGCACTGCGTTTATACAATCTCTTAGTATCTGTGGTGAACATGTGGAATAACGTTCCAGAAAGTAACCCACATCATCCTCTAATAACCACACCAGGGACTCTACCTGGTCTGCACTAAATGGTGGCAAAAATTCATCCCTGCATTCGGGGAAACCAGATGAAACCAACTCAACACAAACCTTAATCAATGGCTGCACCATAGAGAAATCTGTGCCCTGATCTACTAGAACATGAGCGAGCCGTATACATTCTAGCAGTTCATCCCGGGGATACTCCTTCAGAGTCTGATAAGCATATTTTCTGTCATCAAGCACTAGCAGAGATAAATACTCAACCTCATCCAGATCCATCCTTCCCATCAACAAGCCAAAATGGCTTCCCTGTGCAGCCACTTCTGGTCAGGATTGGCCTTGGTGTAATGTCAGGGCTCCCAGGTGTGACCAGAGGTGTGTGACTGACGCAGGGAAACGCAGACTTCAGATATGTGATAAACAATATAATTTATTAACACTAACCATACAAACATAAACGCAGTGCAATACTAAAACATAATACAGTGCAAACAAACCAAACCAACCACCCCACAGATAACAGTACATACAAGCAAGCGTCGTCAGGCAGGTCGGGTCAATATCAATAGGGCAGGTAGGTACAGGGGGGAGCAAGCGGAGATGGGTCGGGGTCACAGGCCAGGTTCAGCAGGTAGCTAGCAGCGTAGTACAGAGGGTCAGGCAGAAGGATGGTCAGGGTCACAAGCCAGGGATCAGAACAGGTAGCAAGCAGCGTGGTACAGAGGGTCAGCAGAGAGGATGGTCAGGGTCACAAGCCAGGGATCAGAACAGGTAGCAAGCAGCGTGGTACAGAGGGTCAGGCAGAGGGATGGTCAGGAGCGAGCCGGGATCAGAGCAGGAGAAGTCAGCAGCGGTTCAGATCAGGCAGGGTCAGCAAAGGAACAGAAACAGGATGCAGGACAGATACAGGGCCCAGGACAAACACAACACCAAGGCAGAGTCTGCAAGTCTGGCCATCCCTTAAATACACCAGTATCATCAGTTCCAGGTGTTAGCTGGCTGAAAGGTTGAGTCTCTGATTGCTGGGAGCACCCGCTGGCCAGCCCCTGGTACTGCAGATCAAAAGGCAGGTGAGTCCCACCATTGCTGGCCAGTCCATTCCTGACATGTTCATCCTCTGTTTGGAACCCCTGGCCATAGCCATCAGATCCAAACTGGATATACAGGGGATACGCACCCATAACTGTGCCTTTTAAATTGCCCCTGTTCGCTGATGGTATCTTGCTGATGCTGACGGAGCCTCATACTTCCTTACCTGTTTTGCACCGTACTTTACAGCTCTTTAGTGCCTTGTCGGGATATAAAGATAATGCATCTAAAACTGAAGCACTACCACTCCATATCTCACCTACAGTCCTATCTTCCCTTCAGTTAAATTATCCTTACAGGTGGTGCCCCCATTCCCTGAAATATTTGGGTACCAACCTTAGTTCCTCATACCACTCCATTTGTGTGGCTAATGTCCCTCCTCTGTTTCATGCAATTTCCCAATCCTTAAAATCCTGGGACAACCTTCCCATTCTTTCCTTGGATGGATCAATGTACTAAAAATGACCATATTGCCCAAGTTTTTGTATCTGTTTGAGACACTTCCTGTTCCTACCCCCATGCCCAAATTGCGCTCTCTTCAGAAGTCTTTCCTGCACTTCATCTGGCATAATAAATTGCACCAGATTGCCCGTACTGTCCTCCTCTCTTCTCAAACTAGGGGGGGTCTGGGGGCCCCAGACATTGTGACATACTATTTAGCTACCCATCTCCGGGCTCTTGTCTCATGGTCTTCCCAGCGCCCCCTTAATAAATGGACCGAGATTGAATCGCTACAACTTAATCCGACGCACTCTTGTTCTCTCCTCTGGTCTATGGCCAATGCTGACATCTCCTCTTACAAATGTCTCCTGCTTGGACCCATGCAGTTCACGTTATCTATATGGAGGCGTAGTAGGGTTAGAGTCGCCCTATCTACCATGTGTTCCCCCTTGACCAATGCCATATTCAGTCCATGCCTCCCAGATAGCCTGGCCATGGCTCTTGTACGTCCCTGGACCAAGGCCAACCTATTCCAGCTGTGACACTTGGTCAATCCAGTGACTCGCAAGCTTAAATCCTTTCCTGACACTTAAAAAACCACCCGTTCGCCACCCCACCAATATTTTGTTTATCTACAGACACGTCATTTTCTTTCCTCCAAAGCCTCTTCTCTGATTCTTGAAAAGCCTACCCCCTTTGAGCGTATCTGCATTCAAGGCCCATACCAACGGGACATAATTTCCTCCACGTATAAGTTGCTTTTAGATGCCTGTCCCCTTACTATTGATACCCAACTTTATATGCGTAAATGGCCCTGATTACTCCAAAGCGATATTGCCTTAGATCAATGGAGCAGGATTTGGGAGGCCACCTCCAGATCTTCTATATGTGTAGTATGTAAAGAAAAACTTACTTATAAAATCCTGATGTTTTGATATAGGACTTCTGAGGTTATCCATAGTCGTAATCTGAATGTTTCTTCTGTCTACTGGCGTTGTGGCAAGGAAACTGGCATTCTTTTCCACATTTTCTGGGCTTGCCAGTATATTGCACCCTTTTGGAGAGAGGTCCTTGCCCTACTACGGTTACTTTTGCAGGCTCCTATCTCATTTGAGCCCATTTACTTTTTGTTGGGCCTTTTTCAGGCCTCTCCAAATTTGCACGGAAACTGTCGTCTCACGTTTTTAACGGCAGTCAGGAGAACCATTCCTATGCATTGGCTTTCTTCTACACCCCTCCACATTACTGGAATTGATGAAGGTTATAGCAGAGACTAGAAAAATGGAGTACCTAACTGCTTTACACACTAATTCTGTTCCTGCATTTGAGGCAGTTTGGGACTCATGGGATACTTATACCTCTGACTTGTCTCTGTTCAAATTGTTTGAAATTGATTGCCATTTCACTGTATTAACATTGTATGTACCTATGAACCTCTCATCGATGAGCCTGTTTTTCAGTTTTCTCTTCCACTGCTTTTTATGTTTGCCTATGCAACTTGTTTGTTATAAATGTTTGAAAATGTATAAACAGTTAATTACAAAAAAAAAAAAAAACCGGTTTCTGTTTTGGTTTTACTGTACAATGATTTAATCACATTAATTTAACAGCCTTGCAACAACCCCATCTTTTTTGGTTTTCCATATACCAAAGGTAGCAACTGTAGAGCCGGAAAAAAAGCCACTGAGATTTTGTGTTCAGGCCTGAGCAATGTACTGTATGTGAAAACATACAAAAGCACATTACACCTTACCTCAGGTGTGGGTGGTCTGCTTGAACATCATTGACATGGATCCCTACCTCACTGGACACCTCACAAGATGGTGAGAGAAAAAGACAGGTCTCTTTACCTGCATATCTGTCCTCGAGGCATTATTATATCACTGAGCAGCAAGGAATTAGGGGACATTATTCTTCCATTGATCCCTAATGAAATATAGGGCTTTATTCTCTCACGGACTATGTAAGAGTGCATTCTTTCTGCTCTTGTCTCATCTGTACATATTGTTGGACACCAATGTAAATATACATGAAGTTATTATTGGGGGAGGGGGGTTAAAATAGAAGGGATTCATATGACACCAGTAAGTAGGGGATTAAATATGAAATGTGCACTATAGACTACTGGCCACCAGTAATAATAATGGATCTTGTTGCTGAAACATGCCATAAGCCGAGCAGTGAGGGAACCCAAGCAATGTTTTACTATAGAGTTCTCTGATTTATATTTATTCCCCAGTATACCACATGCCTTTTGTGCAATGTCTATAGTAGCTGTCAGTCAGTGAAGTTCACTGAAAAACAATCCAAAAATTTGTCAAAGTGGAGCTCCACCCAAAAGGGGAAGTTCTGCTTTAAGTATAAGTCCCCCACTCCCCTTGAGGAATGATTTTGACAGGTACCCGCTCCCACTTGCACTGTGATCTCCTAGGCGATTGGAAGCAGAAGTTGTACCCCTCTCTCCCTCCCTGTAGTCTTCTGGGACATATGACAAGTCCCAGAAGACTACAGGACCTTTCACAAGGTGCAGCGCTGCTCGCACATTTGGGCACCCGGCTGTGAAGCCGCAAGTTGTCACAGCCAGGTGCCCACACTTAAGATGCCGGCGCTGGGGAGTGAGGACTGCCAGTGGAAGGGACTTTGGTGAGTACACCACTGGATCATGGGATGGGTGAGTGGCTGTTTTTTAAAGTGGCAGTTTTTGTAGCTCCTAATGGTTATTTTTTTTAGGTTTGACTGGAGCTCTGCTTTAATAAGCATGCTTTAAAGTACGATGAATTGTGTAGAGAGACCTGTTGTTGCTAGATGACATTATACCCCATTCCATACAGACGTATGCATGCAGGTGGACATTTATGGGGAAAAGTAATGCACAGGCTAGTAGAGGTAATAGAAAATAGTCATATGATGCACTTATATAACAATTGGGGAACAATAACTTATTTATATCTCTAAATAGGCAGTTATGGTGGATTTTGCTCTCCATGAGCTAAATGTAGAGGGCAAGGGTTATTCTGGCTTTTAAATTTTTGAAAATGAACTATTACTTATGATTAAACCTAATAAAATGTCACTCTGTTAGCACATCATTATTGGCAAACTGTATATCATTTTGTAACACTGAATTGATCAAATAATATAGCTATCTGGTAACATAGCATAGTTGCCAATTGTAATGTTTTTTTTCCTAAGAGCTGTAACTCACAAAAAGTGCCCTGGCCACAGCATCTGGTAGGAAGGTTTTACCAAACCGTATACATACTGTACCTACATACATACAGTATATTATTTAGGATAGTGTACCCACTATAGTAGTTTATATTGATATAAAAAACAAATAGTTTTATAATGAGGCCTCTGGCACTGCAGGGAACACTAATAGGCTTACAGTCTCAGCACACCCTGCTCCCACAATAAAGTTATCCACACTGGCAGAAGTATATACATATTTCTCACAGCTGCTAACATATATCTTTCCATCTACATATAAAAGTGTATATAGACCGAGCTGCTAAAAATGTGAATCAAAATTACTAAACAATTTGCCACATGTGAAAATGCAAAGAATAAATGAACATCGCCAGAAAATACAAATCATGTCCAATGTATCAGTAAGTCCCATTCAAATGATAATTGCTTGAAAACCAAAATACAGGTGAACAGGTGCTGGTGCCATTAGTAACAGTAAAAAAAAAGGTGACCACTTCCAGGTGCTTCAGGTGACCCCAAATAGACTTACACTCACCATAATGGATGGACCTTCTAGTACTAGATACGTAGGTATTACTGTGCTTTTTTTGGTTGGACCCACTGTGTGTCTTGTCACCAACTTGACCATTCATATGTACCAGGAATGTGATTCCTTCCCATGCAATACACCACCACACTTACACTTTACACAAAAATTTAACAAAGATGGAACTGCAACCATCTCACAAAGACATCCAGGCCATCCACAGAGGTTAATACCTCGACAGGAATGTCTTCTGATGAGAATGGTTGAAGAAAATAACCATGCAAGTTCACTGCAGTTAGCAAAAGAAGTAGAAAGCGAAACTGGGGTGATTTTTTTCCCGTGACACAATACGGCGTTCACTGCAGAGGAATGGTGTGCATGGGTGTCATCCACAAAGGAAGCCTCTCCTAAAACCCATGCACACAAAAGCCCACCTAGAATGTGCCAGGGCCTATGCTGTACTCTGAAGTGATGAGACCAAGATAAATGTTTTTGGAACTGATGGGTTCAAAACTATATGGCATCGCAAAGGTGAGTACAAAGAAAAATGCATGATGCCTACAGTGAAACATGGTGGTGACAATGTCCTTTTGTAGGGTTGCATGAGTGCTGATGGTGTCGGGGAGCTTCATTTCATTAATGGTATCATAAATTCACAGATGTACTGTTTTATATTGAAAGAGAAAATGC